AAAAACTCATCCGAATGACGCTACCTATGCCCTGCGCACCTGAAATATGGCCAACAGAAAGGCCCATGCCGGCTTAGTACTTTTGTCTGGCTTTGGCGACTGATCGCGCTAACTCGAGCGCTGTCAAATACACCCAAAGGAGTAATTCGAACGAGACTTGCCAAGGTTTGGATCTCTCCCAGCCCCTTGATCATGGAAAGGTGCCGAATGCAGCAGGGATTGCTTTGACTCGATTTTTCGCCACGAGCCTGCTTTGCCCTGGAAATCTTGCTGCACAGAGAGACACAGAAAAAGCCAAGTCACGCCAGTGACCTGGACACGAGCGTGATATGAGGGCCACTGGGAAATCAATCAGCCCAGTAGAGAGATAAGGAGCTGCTAATCCAAAGCATGGCCTTTTAGATGCGGACTTTCAGATCATAGCATAAATAAACCAAAATACTCCATTCCGGGTGAGTCGGATCACATCAGCATCTTCGTTGGCAGGTTGTTGGCAGGAGCAGACGCAAGCTCACCAATAACGTCGAGTTTGCAGCCGCTGTTGGAATCTAAAGTTTTCGGGTGTAACCATCAATTTCGCCTCTGTGGACTAAATTTTGGAACACTGCCGCCGGGAAGGACTACCTAGGCACTAGTTCGACCACGTGAATCATGTACACTTCTGTACATTTGTTAAACGTTTTTACTCTTCCCCGGTCATCTTGGCGGCTTACGAACTGGATCTTTCAAGGAACTAGTAAATTACCAGGTGGTAGCGTTGAACGCTCAACCTGGGGAGCCCACCGACCGGGAACGTTGCCTTTTGCAATACAAAAAGCCGGTTGTTCATCGAATGGAGAATTCGGTTTAGTTGAATCTGTTCAAAGTATTTGAGGGGTCGGCGTATATCACGGTAATCTATCTTAGCTGGTGCATCTTCACCGCAGATTGCACTGTACAACACCTTTTCCTTGTGCAATATGGAGTTTGTTTTTAATACTTCGAATGCGAGCCGCTGCAACCCATGCCGAATGTTGCACAGAGCCTGTAACAAAGACAGCCCATGCGATAGCTGTATACGACGCGGCCGACCCGAAGAGTGCATCCCAGCAAAAAATATTATAAGAAGATCCAGGTATTTGGAAGATGTCTCTTCATCTTACCAATCCATGAACGTCGGGAACGCTGGCAATTCGAATTTCATGGATGAATTGGAACTGCCGGAGGAGCCAAGCTACGCCGAAGGTACACATTATGTGACCTCTTTTGACGATCAAATCTTGTCTTATGATTTCCTTTCAGCTACCACGCTGGGTGGACTTCGACATACATTGCCCTCACCTGCTGTCATAGAGATAGTGAAAAGAGAATTCTTTCGCCACGTGGTGCTGTACTCATCCTCAAGACAACGCGTGGAGCAATGGTCTAATGCTGACGTATTGTCTAATAGGAGCCACATATTTTGTATCCCCATGAGTTTGAAGCAGAATTTGAGCAAAACATGGGGGAATTAGATTCATTGAACCCTGGATGGATGGCGTTATTATTTGCGGTCCTCTCATTCGGCTCCATCCTATCAGCCAAGCAAAAAAGTGATCTGGACACCACATTAAAAAGCCTATCATCTCAGTACGACTATATTGCATGTCGATGCGTGGCCCTTGATAAATTCGACTTATGGGGATCTTTAAGGGCTATGATAGTTCTTCTTTATTTGCGAATAGGGATTAGCCACCAGCACGTACGGCTATTCAGGCTAACTGAAGATCTCGCTCTAGCTCACTTCTTTCACCATCCATATGAGCATGAACGAAATACTCGCATTCAGTCCGACCTTCGGTTATTGGGAAACGTGATGGGTCTCAGAAATCATGCGTGATTATGCCTGGATCGAACAGTCTACACATTTCAGCAATGCGAAAACTTGAGGAATTGTTTAAAACTCGGGGTGCAATAGCCTTTATCGACCAAATAGTGGTGCTGTAGTTTACATTGCTGTATTATGGCTTTTTTTAACCATAATACTTCATTTTCTCTCAATATTGTACTGCCCCCACTAGTGCCTTACGTCGACTCTTTGAATATTATGCAATTACCTACCTTGGCGAGCGCGTTACACCCACCTAGCGCATCCACGACCTGAGCATATGTTAGTAAGGGATTTAGTCTTAGTTTTCTTAATAGTGTTTATATCGCTGAGATCAAAATGCCATTTCCAACCTTCTCCCCTCTGCTTTCCACCACATCCCGCCCCCAAGGCCTTACTGGAAGACAAGCGCGTTGCGCGCATCAGTCTAAAACGGAGGCATGCTGAATGACAGCATTGGCCCATACAGAGGGCTAAGAACGATAGTTCAACAGCATCGTTGAACGAAGCAAAGCTAAAACGCACAGACCTTGTTCCTGGTGGTAAACGGGTGTGATTGTTCAATTAAACAAACAAGCCTAGCCAACGGCACAGTGAAACGCTGCGTCCGGCCGACAAGGGTTCGCGACAGGCTCGGGCCTGCCGTTATTGGGAATGATCGGCATTACTATCAAGGAAAATGTCTAAGTAACGCCAATACGTTTTCGGTTGATCTATCAGTAAAGCCGTCGTGTTATTGCCCGCGCACATCATATTTGGGGCGAGCCCCAGATTCCTAGTGGCATTGCTTATACATGAAATTATTATGTTCCTATGGTACAGCACCATCAACTACAGTAGTACAGTAGGATATGTGCTTAGCCGTCTCCTTCCCTTTTCCTGGAGTACAGTACTGTTAGAACCTGTCTTATGTCCTTCTAGGGCGCCAGTCATATTATAGGCTACTGGGTACCGTACTGTAGCGGTCTTCGGGCACATAGCCTTTTATGCGTCCCAAGCCATGATCAACGGATAGCCGCCGGCCCCTTCCCCGCCTGCTAGCGGGATGCCCACTTTCTCAGGGAAACTCGTCATTGGCTCAATCAAGTGGACTTCCTCCAGGTTCATTTAAAATACCTCTACATCGCTAGCACAATAGTATTCGAGCAAGGCACGAAAAAGACAGAGGAGGATGTTGGACTTGTTGACCGTAAAATTTGTAATTTGAAAACCCAGGATCATACTGTACTGTCCATATTCGGTAAACATGGCTCCAGAATCATACAAGTTCCCATCGCAGAGTTAACTTGTACCGCACATAGGCTTTCGCAATCTGAAACAATGGATACAATCACTATTGTTCGCGAAATTGGCAGAAAACAAGCAGCTAACCAATTCTACCGCACCTGCCATTTCCTTCTACAGGAGCTACGGCGACGGGTGCTCGACATCAACGACGAACTTATCCTACTTCAATGCGAGCCATTGTGTACACCGATTACCCTGCATGCTATACGCAACTTGTCACATGCTCTAGAAAAAGCGGTTGATGAGGGGTTGAGAACGGAGTCGATAGCTCTTGAAACCCTAGAAAGTCTCCAACCAAAGAGCAGCACATGACTATTCTCTCAGACGATGAACTCTGATATACAGTACTTTTGCGATGTCGCTCTGATCTACTCCATTCGGCTCGAAAATTTGAGCCTTAGGGCCAACGGTGACCACCTTCATGGGTCCTAAATATGTCAATGATTTCCTGAATAGGTCACATGTTTCCTGGTACTGTGCACGGAGAGAGGAGAAGCAATAAATGATTCCAAATCATGGCCTATAACCAGCTTTCTCTCATAATCTAGCCCTAGTAAAATAATTCTTTTTATTTTCGGCCAAGATAAAATTCCTTGTCGAAAGCGCACATTGTTCCTATCTGGTCAATATCTTTGGGTTTCCCTCACGAGCGTAGTCCTAGATGCTTCTAGACCCTGTGCCACCTTCCCTGGTTACCACTGGGACCCATGCTCCGGCACCCTAGCCAGTTGACCGTTAATCAAGCGGCATAGCCCATCATAAAGCCCGTTCATTCGTGTTCCCAGACTGCAAACGTTCTTTCCTACATGTCACCTACTACAGACGATATGATGAGAAAGTCCCCTACAGAGGAGCAAGAAAAAAGTGCAATGAGGCTGTTGAACAGACTGACCTCTATTGTTGGGGATAAGTCAACTCTGGTACGTATTCCAACTGCTACAGAGCAGTATCGCCATACTGTCACTTCACTAAAATTTGTCAAGGACCACCTGATGAAAGGTCATGCCACATGCAATAAGTTATTTCACGAATTCCATGTTATTTGCCTGCAGCTACTGCAAATACATTCCCAGGCAATGTCTATACTGGAGTTAGACGAAGATTTGAACAAAGCTATTCGCAATCTCGGTATAAACCCCGACGAAATCGAGTTGTGTCATCCTCAAAACGGCTCTGCCGGTTCCCCTTCGTCACTTTCAAGAGGTGACCAGACCGCTGTTCTACAGCCCCAGCCATTGAACAGACCTCCTTCTATGAACAACCAGCCTCTTAATTTGCGTCCCGCTAGTTTCACCTCCACAATGCAGCAGCCCCCAGTTTCAAACATGGCACAGTCCCAACAGCCGCATCCTGCCGGGACCGAAAGAGGGTTCAACGGCCTACAGAACAGAGCTTCCTTCGTTCGAGCTCCGCCTCAAGTGACAGCACAGAGCATGGGCCTTTATAGAAATGAGCAAGAGTGGAATATGGAACGTCTGGCGGATATTTTCAAATGATAAGTTCGTCGTTGCTGCATTTGCTTTAGTGTGAGACTGCTACTGTTGTGGTACACTACAGTCAGTCCGACTTTCCCATCAGTCTATTACAGTGTGTCCCGAAACTGGTGCCACCACTTTCACTCATAAACTGTCTCTTCAATCTTGTTACATAAACGAGCTAGTCTATATTGGGAAATCATACGGATTATTGATTATCCTGTGATTCCCTTAGAAACATACTCATACAGATCGTACCGAGATTAAATACGATTTCAAAGTTTCGTTACTGTATCAGTGACCCATAGTGTAATCCCTTCTCTCCGCTTTGAAATGTGTCTTATCTCCCTTTATCTGCAACTACAACGCTGGCCTTGGTTAAGATCGCAACTATGGATCACTCGACGCATATCATAGATCCAGATGGTGAAGTGATAATCGTATTGCAAAACGCAAACTCTCCTTTTGCTCACCCTCCTGAAGACGATGTTCCCGAAGACGCTCCTCCCGAAGACGCTCCTCCCGAAGACGCTTCTCCCGAAGACGATGCTCCCGGAGACGGTATTGTGGAAGTGCAACCGTGTGAGCGGATGGATGAAGGAGAATTTCGCATTCAAGTTTCAGCAAAGCATATGATGTTTGCCTCTTCATTTTTCAAGAGATGCCTGACCGGCGCTTGGAAAGAAAGCGAAGCCTATCAACAGAAGGGCTTAGTTGAGGTTACCGCAGAGGGTTGGGATTCTGAAGCGCTTCTTATTATCATTCGTGCCATACATTGCCAATACAGTTTAATACCGAAGAAGGTAACCTTGGATATGCTCGCTAAAATCGCAGCTATAGCCGACTACTACGATTGCAAAGATGTTCTATACATATTCACCGATATATGGTTCAGTTCTCTGGATAAAAATGTTACGGCATCTTCACAAGACCTAGAACTCTGGCTCTGGGTTTCTTGGTTTTTCAAACATCCTACACAGTTCAAGGAAGCATCATCAACTGCTATGTCATGGAGTGAAGATCTTATTGATGTTAGGGGGCTTCCGATCCCCAATCAAATCATTGGTAAGATACGATACTGGAATAAGTGAATAGTGCCTAATCAAATAACAGCATCAATGGAAAAAACTCGACGAGAGGCTATCGAGAGTGTCATGCTCCATATTCATCAAACATGCGAGGATTTTCTGAGCGGAGATCAAGGTTGTGGATTTGAATGCAAATCAATCATGTATGGGGCTCTTAGTTTACAAATTCGGTCAAGCCATCTTCTTTCACCGACACCTGTAACCCCTTTCCCGGGCATCAGCTACAGGAACCTCATACATGAGCTATTATCATTCAAATCCCCACGGTGGTATGAATCATCCGCTTCCTTTCCGAAGCGTGGTCACGCTTTACGCCATGATTGTTCTGACTCGAGTTTCACAACACTGTTCGCAAATCTCAACCATTCCATCGAAGGGTTGCAATTAGACGAACTTTCTAATCCCTAAACAGAATTCTGAAGGTTTCTCGGTCAAGAGGGGATTCTGGTACCCCAAAAATCTTATTTCCACTTGGTTTTCACCGACGCAAGTTCGAAGGCGCGGATGTTGAGTAGCCTTAAATCGCCATCTATTTTTCTTTGTATCATTCAGTTGTGACATTAAGCTCTGTTCATCATTTCAGAGGTGATCAAGTAGTGAGCCTTGTGTAATAGAGACCATTACCTATAGCTCAGAAACGGGATTTCTTCGAACTACAGCGCCTCGGTTAGTTTTGTAGAACGCTGGGTGTGAAAATATGGGTCAGCATTGATTAAGAATGTACCTGATTACTGTTTCATTGTTGTCAATCTACCCCGCTATCAGGTGACCCAACCTTTTTGCTTTGGTTCGGTCTGACACTGGCTCGACACGGCTCTGGCTCTGGCTCGACACTGACGGCACTGACACTTGGTTGGGTTCCCACCACTGGTACTTGGCACTGGCACTGGCACTGGTACTGGCACCAAGGGTGGATTTATATATGGATTATGCTTTACGGATCCCAGTATATAGTGTGTCGACGGCATTTGAAGTTCTAAATAGGCAGTCGGTATCGTTCGCCCTGACTAGACGGTTCCACTTAAAGCCAAAAATTAAATTAAAATGATGGCCCAATCCACTCCTCCAGTCCAGCTGCCAGTGCCAGTGCTAGTGCCAGTGCCAGCCATCCTCCTTTCTTTCCCTTCCTTTCCGGGTCGGTCTGTCAGACTAATTTACAGTAACCACCGAAGCCAACAGCAAAAGAAAAGAAAAGAAAAGAAAAGAAAAAGAAAAAGAAACTTGAACATACGCCCCGCACCATCCATGTGGTCCCGAGTTTACCACGGACCCGTGAACAGCGGGATGGGTCACGACTCGGACTCGTGGACTCGTATCATCGGTGTGACTGTGCACGGTATCCGACCCCCTCTCCTTCCTTGTCAGTCAGCTCGATAGGAGCCAACCCTTTATGATCCCTTCTTCTGCGTAAGCCAAGTCCTGGTCTCGTGTCGTACAAGATGGATCATCATCAGAACCAATATGCGCCAGCAACACGGCACCGGTGACAGGACAGGACAGGACAGGCACCGGGCTGGGTAGTAGCGGGACACTTCGTATCTTCGGCTGGAACACTCGAGTGACATGTTCCTCCGAGACACGCAGCCCGTTAACTCTGCACCCTGCCCTGTTCGGAGTGTATGTAAAGTACGGAGTAGGAGTACGTTAGTTGAGCCTAGTGCTAGCGCTGGTGTAGGTTTCGACCCAACCGGTTGGATATGCTTGGTCTGGATATGGGGACTGCATATCTATCGGTTTCGGTTTTCTGCATCGACGTTGGTAACGGCGTATATGTATACTATATACTACTAGGGCTGCTGGGATTATGGATTTCCGCTGAATCGGGGCGCTGAGGTTGATGTTAACCCTCATCGCAAGATTTATGTGGAAAATGTCCTGCAGCCTACTGCTGCTGTGTAAATTGGAGGAGAGTAATAAAGTTCTTGTCAATCTGATAGATATGAAATTCATTGCGAAGCTAAGCTAGCTCCTCCTTGGCTAAACCTATTGCCTGCTATTATAATAATATTATAACTAGGTCTTAAGTCAAAACCTTACCGTTTGCCCTTTTTCCAGGCTAAGCATCTATAACATATTGAGCATCAAGTGATCACGAGCACTCTGGCCCGTCGAGTGATATTCTTTCAATTGGATTGTATGAAAAATCAACCAGAAGTTCATTTAGCCTGTTCATAGAGAGTGAAACTTCAAAGTCAGGATTAAGCCCTCAAATCGGGACAGATCTTATCAATAACCTCGTTCGCAATCAAATTGTCCAACACGATGTGCCCCAAAACAAGCCCTGGCGAAAGATGCGTGTGCATCCAGAGAGAGATTCTTTTTTCTGAGAACAAATATTTTCTGTGAATCCTTTTAAGCAAAATTTATCGGCTTTGAAAGAGAAAGTCCATATCATTCATCGACATCGCGAGGGTGGGATTCCTGGTACTTTGAAATTTCCTTGTCGGTAATGCCTGGCACAGGGTCGTATCTGGTCAGAGGAGCCAGTGGAATGTCATGCTCTTTGAATTGCGCCAACTTTTGCTGGGTGAGCTTGTGGGTTTTGTTGACGCTGTAGATCTTGATGCGGTGTGCTGAGGACGTGACATGTAGACCCCAGTTCCAGGCTGCTCGCACATTAAGTGGCTGTGTATTCAAAGAATTGTCCCAACATCTGCACACAATTTCGATCCACCCTTCTACATCGCAAGGGAGATCAATTTCCCATGATCTCCAAGCCCATTTTCCCTTCTTCGACAGATTCTCCTCAGGAACAGCATACCAACTGAATCCTCCGTCGGCTGATAACTCCACACGTTCAGGCCAACGGCCACCACCAGAATAAGCCCAGCCTTTGCAATGGATCTGACCACTGTGCATAATCACTTGATTCTGCCACGGAGACATAATCGCAGAGCTAACAGGCATCTCCTGGATTTGTATTCCATCCATAGGACGTTGGTTATACTTACCCATCTGTTGGTTGAAGTACAAATATTCCCTGCTTTGAACAGGTGCCAGGGATGGACTCTTAATAGCCTTGATTCGGTATAGCCATTTCACACTGCGAGCTCCAATATACCCCATAACGATTACTCGTAATGGAAATCCGTGGATCTTGGGAAGAGGCTCACCATTCATTTCCCAGGCGAGAATAACCTCATTACTCTTAACCTTGGACCATGGGACACTGACAACGTAGTTACCGACATTGAGGTCCTTGACGTATGTGTCCACACCATAGAACTCAAGGTGCTTGGCGTTGTTGGTCAACCCTCCGCAATCTTTGATGAGCTTTTTGAGGCTTATGCCTCTATACCTAGCAGTGCCTATGGCACCCTCAGCCCACGGTGCTTGGGGAACTTCGTCTCCTTGACCAGCGTACAAAGATATCTGCTCAATCCGACGAGTCCCTGAGCATTGCATAGTAATTGTCTTCTCCATCTGTGGAAAGACCGACTCGTTCATCAGATCTTTCATCGTATATGTTTTGGGAGACTTGACAAGACCATCGAGTTGTAACTCGAATTTCTTCTCTTCAATGAGCGGAATACCACCGTGGTTGCGCACAAAATGAAGTGAGTTCGGTGTGATAGCTTTGTTTGTAACCAAACGCTTGGGTGGTTCTCCGTTATACGGAAATTGCAGCAGATGCAGCATTTCAGGGTGTTTCTCTTTGAGAACCGTCTTCCAGGAATCATCGGGGACTTTGGTAAGCTCCCCTCCTAGTGCGGTATGCCATGACTTGAAATCGTCGCCCGGCAACACAGGATTGGTAGGAGGTATAGGTCCCCATTGAAAGTCGGGACATGGGGCAAACGTTTGCGATGTCAAAACTTCATGTGCTTGGGCTTTCTTTTCGGGAAAGAACTCCCATTCAACGTAGCTGGATAGTTCAGTGATTGATTAGTCGAGTCAAATTTAACCATACATTGTCATCTCAAGGAAGAGTGTACCCTATCCAGCCCGGCTTCTCACGAGCAAAAAGTTTACTTCGGTCACCAATTGCGCGAATGGCCTTTTCGTTTTTTGTGACTGGTTGTTCTGCATGTGGAGCAACGAAGAAGGTTGATTTTGTACTTTGATCGATGATGGGAAGTTTGTAGGCAGCAAGACCCTGCTCAACTTTCCACTCATCAGGGCGGTTATTGATCGGTTTTGTATACTTGGTCCGGGTTTCCATAGTGGAACGATGTGGGGTGGTCATGTGGGATCAGAAAATGGGGGATTTTTGAAAGAAGTGATTTCCAGACAAGTGATCTGTACCAAATTATATACCTGGCTGACTATGGGACTTACAGACCGACATTTTAGCCCTTGCTTGTCATGAATACCTGGGTCGAGCTCTGTACCACGTTTACATGTCACACATGGACCCCGTTCAATCCTTGCTTTGAGCTAATAATCAAAGTTTTTGTCCAGCGTCATGTGGCTGATATTGTATTTGTTCCATGTCACAGAAGCGAAGATTTAACTAAGAATAGCTGATGGTACTTTTATGGATTTGTGATTGTAACAGAGCCATGTTGCCAATTTACACAAGGAATACGAGTCAGGTTCATTTTTCCATTAAATGCCAGGTGGACCACTGATCAATCAATCTCTTTAAAAAAATACCGATCCGATCTGGGGTAAAGCATAGAGGACGTTATAGAAGACCCCGATTGAATGATTGACATCATGACTTCTGAAGCGTGCCTGATCAACTTGGGACTGACAAACCGCACCAATCGTACCAAGCACCACTATAACAATATCCCATCTTGCAACTTGTTTCAAATGGTATTAGTAGTCATTTCGTGATAGCTAATTTTCTGGAATTCGGTCCACATCCACCACGCATCTCTTTTATTGATTGCAAAGTGAAGGATAACGAATATTGAAAATAGCTACGAGGTATCCCAACTAGGAAGAAAATGATTTTCTATCATTAGATTATTGTGCAATCAAGAAGGAGATGATGAATCATTGCCAGGATACTACTAAGCAGCGAGGCGCTCGACTCTCCCAGAAGAGACAAAAATTCGCAATCTACGTTAGAAGCCGAGTAGATAACGACTACGATTGAGTTTTTTTCTCTGTAAAATAAGATATGCGGTCTAGATTTTCCAATTTTCAGTCGTCACATTTTACCTTCATGATTAGCCTGCATACCGTGACCATTAATGTGGTGGAGCATCTAGTCGAACATTTGCCCGAATAGTCATGGGGTGTGGGTCTGCCACGAGAGAATAATACTTTCTAGGTATTATTGGCGAAATCAACGCACGAGTACGGAGCTCCATAGATGCATTTGGTACCAGGGATATTCCAATGGGTTTTGGGGGGCTTTGACCGGCAGAAAAAGGGACCGCCTGTATCACCCATGTCTCAAATTTACTAGCGTTCCCCGCACAAAATTGTTAATCACATACTTAGGACCCTCGATTACTACGATCGGGCAAATTGTAAGGGTAGAATAGCTTTGTTGCAAGATAAAAAAGGGGTGATAGCGAGGATCACGGTGAAAGATCAAGAGGCTCAGTCGTTTCTACCCAGTCCAAATTTGTATGGGGATCACTAGTAATTTTGGGACATGGGTGATATGCACCTCTGGGCGGTCAGCCAAAAATACCCCCAAAACCCATTGAAATATCCCTGGTACCAAAGGCATCTATGGAGCTCCGTAACACGAGTAAGAATGTGAGTATGTCGGACTAGTGTACCGTAAATTGAGACATTAATCAAGCAAGTAGATTACGGTGAACTCCTGTCGGGCCGTCAGGACCCCTCAGCCCAAATGAAGTAGAAAGGGTGAGGGTACTTATGCATACATACCCTTTACTGAATTTTCTGCATCTGTCATCGGGCACGACCGCTCAATCCCTTACAGACTGTTTGCAGACATGGCCCAGAAAGCAACCTAGTCCCTTCTTCGCAGTTTTGATTTGACACTTTGCAGCACATTCCGTGGTTCGACGCTAAACATTGCATGCATTAGTCACCGAATCATAGCCAAGGTCAGACTGAGACTAGTCTAGACAACCAATTACCTTTCCCACATTACGAAAGTCTGGGTTGACAACGTCTCTGGTTCGTTTTGGCCATGCAAGGATCTCGTATTCTCCCTCCGAGCCCCCGCTTTCATGAAAGTCGGTTTTCTTGCTCTCCGAAAGCACTTTTGTTGAATAACATTGTTACCGCGGAACGGCTAGCCGGGCATGGGCTTGATGGCGCTACAAAGTGAACTGTATTATCCCCTACTTAGTGCGAGATACATTCAAAAATACCTCAATCCTGGATCGTGTTTAATTCTCATGGTACCCAATCGATCGACTGAGATTTATCCGTGAACTATCCTAAGAACTGACACCACTGCCCGCTCCAGAGAGGGGATTTTCTGTCAGATTATCCGATAGAGTCATCATCGAAGAATAACATGATGCACTACACTCTGTTTCTGTCGGGCAGCCGAAGTGCAAAGGCCGAACGATCAGTCACCGATAAATCAGCACCGGTCCGGATAGGCGGTGCGTTGTAGGGTGGCCAATATCCTGCAAGCCACTTAGGTAATTTGTGCCAATCTTCTCTTTCATAGCAATGTAATATCCCTCAAGGTCCGGTGGAATGAATGTATGTATCATGCGTTGGCGCTGCGCTTGGGCCTCGCCCGAGGCTATCTGAAATCATTGCCGTTTCGCGTATCAAGTCCTCTTCTCTGATACATGATAGTATGTATCATGGCCCAGCAAAAATTCAAAAAATGGACAGCATGCCTCCGTCTATTCTCCTCGAATATCTTCATCCAACGCACCTTTCGAGTCGTGGAGGGAGGGCGACGATGCCTACAGACATCAAGTGGGGCACCTCCCGTGCGTCTCCGTATAGAAAATCAACCTAGCAATCACATAATCTGACCAGGCTCTCTTGATAGACATCTCGGCCTCCGCGATCGGTTAATGAATCGACAACAAAGCCTTTTTCAGACTTTCTCACAGACCGATTTCATCGCGAGCACGATTATCTCCGGATCAGCGTCACAGAACGGTGCAATTTGCGATGCTTGTACTGTATGCCTGAGGAAGGTATTGAGCTGTCACCACCGCCCAAGTTGTTGACCACGCCAGAAATACTGTACCTATCATCACTTTTCGTCTCCCAGGGCGTCAAAAAGATTCGTCTTACTGGTGGAGAGCCCACCGTCCGCAAGGATATTGTATCGTTGATGCAAGGAATTGGCCAGCTACGGAAAAACGGGCTCCGCGAGCTTTGTTTGACTACTAACGGAATCTCACTACACCGGAAGCTAGATGATATGGTACAAGCAGGTCTTACGGGTGTGAATTTAAGCTTGGATACCCTGGATCCCTTTCAGTTCCAGATCATGACCCGCCGGAGTGGGTTTGAGGCTGTGATGAAGAGTATCGATCGCATACTGGAAATGAACCGACTTGGTGCCGGCATCAAGCTCAAGATAAATTGCGTTGTAATGCGTGGATTGAACGACCGTGAGATCATCCCATTTGTCGAAATGAGTCGTGAGCTGCCTATTGAGATCCGCTTCATCGAATACATGCCATTTGATGGAAACAAGTGGAACCGAGAGAAGATGTTCTCATACCAAGATATGCTTACGGTTATCAAACGTGAATATCCGGGATTAGTGAAGACTGCTGATCATGAAAATGATACAAGCAAAACCTATAAGATCCCTGGTTTTGAAGGTCGTATTGGCTTTATTACGAGCATGACACACAATTTCTGCGGCACCTGCAATCGACTCCGCATCACCAGTGATGGCAACCTAAAAGTTTGCCTTTTCGGCAACTCAGAGGTATCACTACGGGATATAATACGCAAGGAAAATCACGGGCTACCCATCGACAACGAGGCCTTACAAAATCTTGGCTTTCTAGAGAGCACGACTCGTCTTGATAACAATGGGGAGCCGGTCCATGAAAGGGAACGCGAGATTTTGAATATCATTGGCATGGCCGTGAAGCGCAAAAAGGCGAAACATGCCGGGATGGACGAGCTGAAGAATATGAAAAACCGACCCATGATACTTATTGGTGGATAGATGTGGAAATCCGTATCACAAGAGGAATAATTCATATCCTCTGTATTTCCCATGAGGCCGGATGGAAGTTACCAATTCAAATTCACGTCATCATGCGTTCTCCATTTAACCTAACCACGTTTCGAACATAATGTGTGGCTTTTGTTTTTGACAAATGTGCTGGTCACGGGGTTTCTGTGTTTGCAAGGTTATTCAAGCACAGCTACTTGCTCTAGACAGTGCCATATTAATGCCAAAAGATGACCGATTGGGGTCAGAGACACATCCTGAATAACCAAGTACATGGGTAAATCTGTCATAAGTATGCGTATCAAGCACTCACGCAGGATATCTTTGCCAGTTTAGGTAGTACTATTGAACGAATCATGTCTAGTGTAAAAAATAGTATGCCCGCCCGTAAGAGATCCAGGTTTAGAGGAAAGATAATGGCGGCACTGGCGGGATAAATACGATAACCACTCGAAAATTCGCTTACATCGGTCAGTTACACCTGAATACTACCTTCCCTGCAGGTAAAAGACCAGTGATTAAGGTTTGGTAGGCTCGAGCGAGGCGGAACAAATTTTTCAGATCCCTGAACATTATTGGGTTGTGTATGTTTCATCTTGTGTCGAGCGAGGGAACTAAACCAGGGAAGTTCCATACCTAGGTCCTGGATAGACTTAGAAAACTCATGGATCTAGCTCGCTTCAGAAAGCCCTTTTTATTACGACCCACGCCAAAGACCCTGCCTCTGAAATGGACGGTATCATCAAGTCCTTGAAGACTATGTCTGAGCAAAACATGATAGGATGACCTCCTCGAATAAAAGTGGGGTGTGTCAGCTAGAACATTGACATCCAAAGCGGATTTCTCCGCCGTAATCCGACTAGCTGGAGGCGAAAGTTACTTTTAGCTGCATCGAGCGTTGGTTGTTGGCATTCCCCGCACAGCGTCGGTGATTTATAAAGTCGGGACATCTTCAGTAGCAGCACGAAGCATAAGGTACACTTTTGGCAAGAGTCAGCAATCAAAAATGCCGTCAAACATGTCTACGTCTATTGCACTTACTGCTGTGGCGTTCCTGCTCGTTTCAGACCTGACTAACGCAGAACGTGTCCTGGGGGCATATATCTTCCAGCGCCATGGAGATCGCACCGCGAAAGCCTGGCCACCGACAAAGTTGACCAGTCTAGGGTACAGCCAGGAGTATATGACTGGGTCATTTTTCCATGACCGCTATATCTCAGCCAATTCTTCCTACAAGATTGATGGGATCAGTACCGACATCGTGAGCTTAGCCCAGATCACTGCTAGTGCCCCGCAAGATGATGTGATCGAGAACTCCGGAGTGGGCTTCCTCCAAGGTCTTTACCCTCCCGCCGGTTCGGTTGCCGAGGAAACTCTGCGCAATGGAACAACCGTCGAGGTACCATTGAATGGATATCAGCTCATCCCAATGTCGGATGTGCAATCTGGCAGCGGGAGCGAGGACAACTCGTGGTTGCAGAGCACCTCTTCCTGTGGCAAGGCCATAATCAGCAGTAATAACTACTTTGACTCAAAATCCTACGAGAGTCTGCTTTCAGATACTCGCATGCTTTACCAGTCTCTTGAGCCGTTGGTGAACGAGACATTCAGTGCCAGCAAGCTGAGCTACAAGAATGCATACTCTATATGGGACCTACTCCACGTGGCTCTCATACATAACTCCACCACGAGTTTTCCTTCATCGACCATTCTCAACGACACAGTCATACAAGAGCTGCTTGTTCTCGCGAACGAGCACGAGTTGAACCTGGCATACAATAGCTCTGATCCCATCCGTGCCATTGCGGGTATGACTCTGGCAGGCGAAGTTCTGACAGCCCTGAATGAAACAATTACATCTGGCGGCAAATCCAAGCTAAACGTTCAGTTTGGTGCATACGCCCCTTTTCTGTCATACTTTGGTCTGGCTGAGCTCTCACCCCACAATGTCAATTTTACTGGCATTCCTAACTACGCTTCATCCATGGCGTGGGAGCTCGTGACAGACGATGAGGGAACTGAGATACCCGCCACTTCAGACATCAGAGTGCGTTTCTTGTTCCACAATGGAACTAGCATTGAGGGATCGACACAGCTGCAAACCTACGCACTTTTCGGCCAATCCACGATCGAGCTCTCGTGGGCGCAATTTGTTGACGAGACGAGGAAAATCTCCATTCAGTCACAGGACGAATGGTGTCAGGCGTGTGGAAACAGCACTGGGATCTGCGCATCGAGCTCTGGTGCTGGCGATAATTCATCGTCTTCTTCCTCAGCTGACTCCTGCTCGGGCAGAGGGATGAGTTTGGGAGTAGCAGGTGTCATTGGGGCAATGGTAACTTTAGGTGTTCTGGTTGGACTACTCGTCTTAAGCATGATTGTCTTCGGTCTACGCTTCGTACCCAAGAGCGCGGTCGCCGGTAGCCATCGAGGTTCGGACGCTTCCACGGTTCCCGTGATGAAGACGACTGCAGCTTAGAAAATATCAATGGAGATGAATGATTAAGAACATGACGAGCGTCTCTTTCAGGGCCTTTTGTTTTTGTCCTGCTTCGTTTCTTTTGTTAGTTGCATTGTTCGATTTGAAGTTACAGTTCTCTGTGGGAACATAGCTACATAAATAATACATCCAGAACTATGTTCCATATCTGGCAGACATTGGTGACAAGCTTTTCGCCGATGGTCTCGTGGTACTTGGACGAAGCGAAACCACAAACAAAATCTCCCAGCTGTTGGAGGATAATGCTGCGTCACTGACATTGGGAAAAGTCACACTTTGGCATATACTCGAAGAACGTGGTGCTAGAATATACTCAGATAAAAGCGCATCGAACTGACGCAAACGGTTTCCAATTTTGTATCAAATATCAATAAGTCAATTACTTCCCCAAACTACAATAATGAGACATTTCGAGAACATCTCATTTCTTGATTAAAGCCTCGGTCGCGCGCTTGACTCTAGTCCCAAGGTCCATGCTGACTCGACTAAAAAGATCTATCAAAAGGTCAGCTGCTATTATGCACTAATTAGAAGGTGAGAACAGACCGTATACTCCATCTCGCAACTTAGGTGATTTGACCTCTTTAACACTCTGGGCGATGTTTTCGATAGTTCGGTCCTGGTGTCCCGGATCACGGCCGATAACCTCCCACAAAGCAGCAGGCTGAACAAAATCTTCTTCCTCTATGTGACTGGTGAAAGTGGTGACCTCGCCAACCCATTTCTCGTGCTCAGTATGTAAACTCAGCGAATTCGGGCTTACTCCCTTGACTTCCGGATAGAACTTTGTTGGCTGAAGAGAGGAATTCACATAATTTGGATCACCGCCATAGTTTCCATCAAATCTCATTTTACCATCTCTCTCGAATGGGCAATAAACAGGTGCCTTGGCTGCGTTGGTTGGAAGCTGCTGGTAGTTAACACCAAGACGGTAGCGGGCCGCATCGGGGTAAGCAAAAAGTCGTGCTTGAAGGACTATAGAGGATAGAAGTGAGATTTAAGATTTCCTTTCCCAACCCTCAGTGGGCTACTAACCTGGATCGGCAGAAGCAGCAAACCCAGGGACCATATTGGATGGGGAGAATGCTGCTTGTTCAATATCGGCGAAATAATTACCAGGCTGTCATATAGTCAACAATCAACATATCAATATATCACATTAGTGGAAAGTTGTTCACGAACGTTCCGATTTAGGGTAAGCTTGCCAATATTTCTCAACGGGAAGTCTTTATGTGACCAAACTTTGGTCATATCGAAGATATTCCAACGATAGTTCTCGGCCTCTGAGGGATCCATGACCTGTACAAAGACATCCCAAGAAGGGTAATCCTTTTTCTCAATAGCCTCAAACATGTCTCGAATCATGTAATCAGGGTCTTCTCCAGCAATTCTGGTAGCTTCTTCTCGAGTCAAGTTTTGGACTCCTTGTCGGGTTTTCAAGTGAATTTTAATATATTTGAAAGAACCATCCTAAATTCGTAAGCTGAGCTAATATGAAATTTATATGCTGGGGTCGAACCTTTTGAGTAAACTTATATGTGTGCCCACTATAGGAGTTCAGAAAGCGGATAGATTGGGGAGTTCCACGGTCACTGAAAAGAACCAAGAGCTGGTGGATTCCTTCAGGGTTGCCCACATGGAAGCTATAGTATGTAAGCGATGAAGAGGTAAATAAAATGTCATGTACATACTCCCAGAACTATTACCATGTCAGTCTTGTAAATACTCAAGCTGGATCAGGTAACTTACCATATTCGCATCGGGAAGGTGGGTTTGTGGGTGTCTCTTGTGAGAGCGATTCATGGAGGGAAACTTGATAGGATCACGAATAAAGAAAACAGGCTGAACCTAGTATAAGTAAAGAATCTATGGATGGATTCCAATATTCTCACTGTGTTATTGAAAACCCAATCAAGGTTGCCTTCATCGGTATAGAGTTTCATGCCCCATCCATGAACATCTCGAGAAGTATCAGCCGAGCCTGATTCGGGACCAACCGTAGAGACACGAAGTAGGACAGGGGTTTTTTTTGCCAACTTCATTGAGAAAGCTGGCACATGTCAGGTCAGAACAATCGGCGGTGGCTTCAAATTCTCCATAAGCGCTGTGAATGGAAATGCTGATTAGAGTCTAATATGCGAAAAAGCCGCTTGAAGCCTTACCCGATAGCTTTGGCATGAACAACTCTTTTAAAACCCCCCTATAGTGTCAGCTAACAAGCAAAAAAGTCTTATTTTGGCGATTTACCGCTCCGGAATTCTCTCCCGCGAGAAATGCGCCAATGTCTCGATGAGCTGGGTATCTTGGAGGAGTCCGAGGCCACCTCCATCTCTGTTTCTCATAAGCACAGCAGTGCTACTGCTTGCAAATGGGCATCCTTTTTTTTTATCTCGGTCAGTTATGAAAAACAGACAATTCGGGCAATTCCTTTTTTCTTTGCGTCACACACCTTCCGCAAGGGTATAGTACTTGTCTGCGGACATAATGATATGATGAGATGGTACAATGTTTCAAAATTGAAGAGTCATCACCGTTATTAAACGTGGGCTTTTGCTCAAAATTTATAGGCGTCATAACCTAACCATACGGCTATTTATCAGTTGTGGTGAGTTAGCTGAGTGGTTACCATGACTACTTCATGTGTCAGATGTAAGTCGTCATTCACCTTTTGCATAACTAACAGAAGGCCATCCAAAGCGGATAATTGGAAATCAAATCCAACCTATTGGTTTTTGATGAAAACCAACGGTAATATATTATGTTAATATTCCATGACCCTGGCCTCCAATCCGAATTACAGAAAAATGTCTCCTCGTCATAGAGAGAGCCTCCCCACATCCCCACATCCCCACATCCCCACATCCCCATATCCCCAACAAATCCAAGAAATGCCCAAGGAATATAGGCATATGTCAGATACTAGCTGGCATTTCAATGTGGCACTGCAATCCGTGAGACTAGTGGAAAGATGCTTATCTGCCATTAGCATCATGCTTGACAGAAATTGACAGCTTATTCCTTGATATTGCAAGCCTGTGTTATCGGCGAACCCGAGTGACAGGGATTGAATGAAATCTATTAAATAAATTTTATTTATTATATGTAGTAACCAAGATCATTGGTCGAATACTATTGCCAAATTGATTCAATTTCTGATTTGGCTTCAGTCTTCCAGCCAACCCCATTGGCTATCTAGAAAAGCTATTTTTTCTGAAAAAAGTCTAACTTTCTTGCATTAAGTCCCTCTGCTGCACAAGGCAAAGTTCCGTCGTAATGCTTGGTTTCGTTCAACGAGTTTCGCGAGATCGGGCTTTCTATATTTGAGATCTCGTCAATGCTGTTCTATGCTTTGCCGAGAAGACCAGCTTATATTTTCTTTAATGACTATTTATTTGATATTTGCGACAATTGGCCTTGACCTGATTGAAACATTAAAACTGGCTTGAAAGCCTGCTCAGGTCAAGGAATGATCTGCGAAAGTATAGTACCGTGGATAGATTTATTCTACGGTCAAGAAAGCTAAATGATACCCGATTTAGATGTCAAGATACCGTCGACGTCATGGTACCGGGAACCGCCCAGACCTAGAAATACAAAGGAGGTGCGCACACCAGCACAAGAATGGCAGCGAAAATAAGACATCAAACTGTGGTTCGGTCTTTTCTTCATGGACCTCTAGATCTCTAGAATAAAGCAACCAAATGAAATCTTCCACTTAACAAAATTTTGTAATGTCTGAAAGTCCGTGCCTTGATCCAACCCTCATTAATAAACAGAATTTAACGATGGCCCAGACTCCAGCAAAAATCCAAATCGAGAAGAATCTGTGATCAAAAGGCTTTTAGGTCACTTTTCTCGAAGTCATACTTCTCGCTCTCCTAAAGACAGTGGTTCGCATGGTAGTCCGGCCGAGCCCAAGACATATGCAGACTACTTAAAGAAAGATGAAGAAAATTTGGAAGAATACTACAAAGAAGAGGAAGAAAAAAGCACAAAGGAGCATAAGAAAAGTCAAAAAGAACCAGCAAGCGCGGAGAACTAATCGACAACGAAATATGAATACTGCCGCCCGGGTCGCATTGATAACAGTCAGCATTTCCGACCGGCGAGGAACTTTGTATTAGTTGAGTACTCTATTAAATGCGGTTTAAAGGCCTCAATTGGAAATCAAAAGCCATATCGATCATCATCGTAACATGTGCTTGAAGCGTGCAAACGCACTAATGGTAGCTAACATAGAAAGATGATAAAGCATAGATATTCAAGTTTACTATGTAAACCTCGATGAATGTCATGGTATGCGGATCAATCGGATTACCATTGCTCATGAATGGTCAGATCGAAGCTCACCAAACTCAATCCAAGCTGGCGGAACCATGAAATTTGTACCGAAGGACATACTGTAGTGTTGAGATGCTTTCCAAGGTTCAATTTGACTTTTCAAACTCATGATGTAATAATGCTAGCTGGATGTCATGGATATTCTCAATGTTCGGTTTTTTGCCCGGGTGCCCAAGTGTTCATTTAAAAATACATATATTTAGGCTAGGCTCGCAAATATAACGCACTTTCAGACATCTCTGTCGAGTACATCAAGAACATTCAAGTTGAGCCAACATGTCGCAGTCTCAACGTAAGTTGAAATTTCCGTTACCTTTTATTTCTTTCCAATGCTTATTCAAGGTACGCAGAAAATCAATCCAACCAGCCACACCATGAAAGCATGATGGAAAGAATTTTCGAACATCATGGTCACCCCCAACATGATGATGGGAAGAAACAGGAAGTGCCGTCGGAGCCAAAACCGAGTACGCCGCACAAGGAAAGTGAGAAAGAAAAATATTTGAACTGGTATCACAAAGAGGAGGAAGAGGAGGCGGAAGGAGATACGTATGGCGGTCTGATGTAGGGTCATCAGGACATAGAAATGCCATTTTCCACAGTCTTGTATATTGTCATACCAGAATTACACTTTGTACCATGTGCTTCGCCCCAAAATCTGGTCACCCCAATCTCCAAAACTACAGTTTTACAATAACTTTAGTGCGGGTACATACAATCCTTTCTCCGAGTCCTTATCTTGTCGGCAGTGGCATCGGGCGGCTTGGATCTGGATTATCCGCCTCAGCAAATCTTATCAATCATATTTAGCACGAGAAAATATTTATATCTACAGAGGCATTTCAATCTCAATCTTTCAGCAGTGATTCCTTTTCCTTTATGTCTTACCAAGTCATTTTGTATCACTGTCGTGTGGCATGAACTAAATCAGGTCTTTTTACTTCAGAAGAGACTCAAATTTCATAATTTTCTAGCTGATTATCTCAATTTGATTTTCGAAAATATTCTCGGTGATAACCAAAGCTCATCCAAGAAGCTTTAACCCAGCCAAAATCCTTGTCTCACGGAAAAATATGAATGTGGGTGTGGTTTAAGGATGAATTACATATTTAAAAACTGATGCTACTGAAGTTGCACCTGCGTGAAATCTTTCTCCTAGTCACTGCAAGGTAATGGGCATTAAGTCGACGCTAGGCTATTCTAATCAGGTAGTATAGCTCCAAGAGGGCTTCTCTCCAGAATAAGTACAGGATGCAAGATGGCAACAGTATGATATTACAAGTTGATCAAGCGGATTTTGCGTCCAAGCTGAGATTGATACTCAGATACTTTATTTTAGAGCAGCCATTGGTTTTCTTAATATTAGAAGGCTCTTTGATAACCAGTCTCTTGGTCATCAAGATGTCTTACGATTAAATTGTTGCATGTTTTGGAATAAGATACCTATGGTCTCTTAATCTTACGGTTATTCACCCTTCAGGTCTTTGAGTCTGTCTAACAAGGTTCGTAATTCATTATTTAGGGCACGAACAGTCTGTGGCTTCTTTTGACTAAAACTTGTTTATAGTTCTCTCCGAAACATGGACTACAATCTCATCGCTGATGATGATGGCGCCGAGTATATCTCCTTGTCCGTCCTAATAGTCGTCACCTTAGGCGGCAACGTGGTCGGTAAGCGAGTGAGCTATGTAAGCGAGCGAGCCACCTAATTAGAATTATAGACATTTATCAATATATTTCAACCACCACCCCTTTATATTTATTATTCTCTATTTGGACAAGAATTCTTCTTATGCCCTATTTCACTGCAATTGCCGTATTTAGGCAAGGCCCTCGGCTTCGGTGCCGGTATACCTTGCGCTGGTGGCACTCGTGGGCCTGGTATAGCCTGAAAGAAGGCGTTATGAGCTTCCTCAAGCTCTATTGCTTCTTGTACAGATATACCGTTATCGTGAGCTATCCACCTAGTTGTACGAGCACGCTTTTTCTTCTGTACAGTATTTTCCTCGTGTAACTGCTTGTTTTCTTGCTTGAGAAAGATACCGTTTTGCATCGCGATTTGACAGTCTTTAATAAGCTGGTTTAGCGCAGCCTGTGACGGCGATGGAGGACTTCTTGAGCGTTGTTTTAGAAAGGCTTTGATTGAAGCTGCTTGCTTATAAAGCTTGTCTACGTTCGTAGGTGTATGGGGGCAAAAAGCGCTTACTTGACTACTGTGACTTATGGGTGGCGTAGGTGTCCGAAGTTGAATATTAAGCTTTGATAGTACTGGTTCAGGATTTAATAGTACTAATTCTGCTGCTCGGAAGCTATTTTAGATTGTATCAAGTTTGAATGTATTATTTTGAGCTTGTGGATAAGCTGTGAGAAAATCAAGCTTGTTGATACAGTTGACCCCAAGTTGTATTTTCTGGCTAACTAAACTACCGTACGCGCGCTCTAAAACCGCGAAATATCTGATATTAAGCGGTTGTAAGAGATACGAGGAATGCACTGGTATACAGATTAGTATAATATTATAATCTGTGTAGATTTAGTTGAATTCTGCCGTTAAATAGCTTTTGTGTCCGTTAAGAACTAAAAGTCAATATCTTCTATATATATAACTATTTGTTGACGGAATAAATTGCTTTTAAAGCTAGTGAAGACCTATTTCGTCAGACGTCCACCTATTCACGCTAACCTCAAAGTGCCAGTGATATTAAAAGGCTGTTTGTCCTGGTTGCAGATTCTATGGAGGTGATTGACCATTATCCTAATCGACAATATGTCTCTAGCACAATGTCTTCTTATATTGGAGGAGATTCTCAGGATGGTACTCCTGTTGCAACCAACAACTCATGCCATCTGCGACACTGATACCTCTCCACTGTGGATCATGTTAGAGATAAGCACATGATTTATTGGGGCAGGACTTGGTGCCATCCCGGTGTGGCCCACTCAGAATAATGGTTCAGCTCTTTGTGTACCAGGGGATGAACTTTTGAGGTGGGGTAACAAGGTGTCGTATGTAACAAAGCACAAGAGAATACAACCCCACCAGGGCGGTAGGTACGGTGTGTAAGAAAAAATACAGGCTCCGGTGCCAAGGATACTCGGAATAATTCCCATTAGAGCCTAGCTAAGCTTAGTAACTCAAATCCGAAAAACAGTGAAAGAGTAGAAGTGGTGGCACCGGCTTCGGGACACACTGTACTGTATACAGCACTATACTCGTCAATTTTATTTTATTTTTGTTGCTACCCATGATGGAACCAAACAACTGGTCACAATATCTGGCAGAGGTGACAGCGGCGGGGGTTGAAAAAGAACCTATGGCCTGGGTTCAGGCACTTGAGTCAGCTACGGATAATGGATATGACGGGTCAGTCTATACTGTACTACATATTGAATGTTTCGCTAAGCAACAGAAGCGATACGAGGGACTGTGCAAATTATAGGTGATTAATGATGCTTTAAATCCTGTCTAGAACGAGGCTGAAAGGTTGACTATCATAATCACCCCTCCAAAGACCAGATATCAAGTAGGTGTGATATTTTGTCATACTGTAACCGAGTCAGAATAAGGATTATTCTAAGCCAGAATACAGCAATCTATGTGAAAGTGTCCAACAGTCTGCTCTCCCACTCCCTGCGATAAAGTATAATATTATGCATTACTGTGCTGCCACTAACCATCCTCTAGGGCCCAGAAAGATATCCGGTCAGTAGAATGACGCTACAGTCCACGTGAAGACTCGTCTATAGATGTTTTCAACTAACTATTTAAAGTGACTTGAGAAGTACTCTCGAAAGGTTAGCTGACGAATTAAATACCATCTTGAAGGCCGTTATTAACTAGAAACAATCTTAGGCACCAGAATGACATTAAGTAAAGCTGAAATGGAATGCCCAGTAAAGGAGAACTAGCTAACACCATGAAACATAGAGAAATCAAAGAGAATCTGTCTCAAAATATGGACTATATAGAGAGTTTGACGACATGGTCTAAGGAGTTATTTAATAAGGTCAATGGGGTATTCGCCTCACGTCCAAAAGCCCCACAAGTGAAATAATCTCACGTCTATCATGTGTACTATATAGTTAGTACACTATATAAGCTGGCGTTGGGAAATACACAGTATTAATTAGTCAGTACCCATTTTAATTAAAAATGTCCTACTGTAATTTGAAGTGCTGCATTGTAACATTCTTCGTACCTCTCCATATCAAGTAGTATAGTACATGAAGCTAAACGGCACCTTTCTGAATATCAAGAGTTACACTAAAGCCCGTACGGTATGTGTTTAGAGACATTATTCGATATAAGTAAAAGTGAACAGTACTTTACAGTACGAACGACCATACTTTGATAGTAGTCACAATTTTCTAAGGATACATAGCTTAGCGGCTCCATTTTAAAGAAAACTTGAGCTTTGATTCGCCATACTTGTTATATCACGGGATTAAATCTAACAGACCATTGCCAGGAATAGAAACCAAGCGAAGGTCCGCAAACTATTATTCAAATATATTTTGGCCATTGCCTGGTATATTAAAGGATGTCTGTGTTTTACAGCCAGTAAGGGTCAAGATGACAGAATGACATGAATTATCTCCCTGGTTATAGTAACAGGGTCTCTACAATACTTTCTCTAGTATGCTTATCCTTTAACTGAGCCCAGAGCGGTAAATCATTTGCTAGCGAGGGCCTTGGTAGAAGCTGGATACATCACAAACACATCACTGTACATAATGATCCTCCACAAGAGTGCATTCGAATTCACTCACTGAAATTTGATCTTCCAAATCTTATCATTCTCACCAGGGTTACCCAAATGTAGGTTTTCCGAATGCGCTAAAAGTATCATTGCTACTTTGCATTTGCCTTTGCCGAAGCTCATCATTCTCACCAGGGTACCCAAATGAAGGTTTTGTGAATGCGCTAAAAGTATCCTTGCTACTTTGCATTTGCCTTTGCCGAAGCTCATCATCCCGCTTTCTGGCCAAGGATTCTCGAGTCCACTCTTCGTCTCCTTTGCTAAAAAGTAAGGTCGAATGGAAAAGGCCCCATTTCATTTCACAACTCCATCCTGGCTTCAGGGACCAATCGAGGTGGAAGATTTCCTTATCAGTACTCGATTGGAATTTATCAGAGAGAGGGTATCGTTTGGGCCTTCGCACACGACCTTTTTTGCCGGCTTCACGCCTCCACGCTAGAATAACGAAGTTAAATTTATCAACAAATACCAAAAAAACATATTGTTGACCCACGAAATTGTATATGTAGATTTTTACCCATTTCTCACTCTGTTTCGAAGCCCTCTAGGAGTTTTTGAGAATATGAGAGATCTAAATATTGGACTGTAATCTGGGCTCCAATGATATGTTCAAAAGTTGGGTAGCTAGTCAACTCGGGGTTGAAGAAGGGCTTTTTATATTAAAAATGGTTGAGATGACTCCTCATATAACCAGGCCGGAGTAAAAGTCAGGAAACTCAGGAGCAATGAATAGAATTGAAATAGAGGGTAATTCAAGTCACAAAGGATGTAGTTTTATGACTTCGTGTATTGACACGGTCGGTGGAAAGAAAGAGAGTGCGAGAGGTCATTTTCGACACGCAGGCTCAAAGATAGATATTTGCAGAACTTGGACCCAATTTTTGGCTGGCCTAGAATAATCTGCTTATCCTGCAGTACCGCCATGCCCACCACTAGTGCCACCACCACCACTACTTCCTCCACTCGGCGTACTGCAAACGTTAAGAATTTCAATGAGAAACTGATCGGGTTAGCTTAAAGTTATAGACGTATTCTTTGAGACCCACGTTTTCGGTATTGCAGCATAAAGTTTGGCCCTTGCACGAGCTGCCCACTATAGACTGATTAGCGTATCCCGAAGCAAAAAAGAAACGCGAGGAGGTAGCGTACAGCTTTCACACCCAACTCCGATGTCAATAGTTTTACCTAGAATGTTGACAGGGACCAGAATCTGACAGGATTTTGGAGTCTGGTTACCACTGGAGCATGTAATGGAAGTTTGTCTCTCGGTTAGTGGATACGCAATAACGCTGCTAGCCATAGTAGCAAGTATAAATTGAGGCAGTAGCATTTTGCCTGATTTGTGGTAAACCTATATGATGGTTGATTATCGCATAAAATATCATTCCTGTTCACCAGACATAATGCATTCTTATATTCTGTGTTAATTTGAAGGCCCAGTCTGGATCTCTGAATAATACTGCTCGATCAACTCAGCACTATTTACCACCATCCATCTATTAATATGAGGCTGGAAATTATTATTCTTGGAACTTCAGTCGCTGCCCTCGTGTCCTCGCTCGCCCAACGAGATAGCTCCATTACGTGTCCCAGTGGCAACCAGACGCCAAAATGCTGTCAGATCCTGGTTTTAGTCAATGTATTAGGGTGTGAGACTTAAACATGACGTTGATGAGGTGAAGCTAACCTGGACAGTTTTTGATTGATATCCTGAACGTTTGCACGGAGCCAAGTGGAGGAAGCGGTGGCGGAAGTGGTACTGGTCATGGTCAAAGGTGGTTGATTGTGCACTGACCCACCGTTCGCGCCATACGGGGATACAAATATGCTGGCGGAATTAATTACGATGAATTGTGCTAAGGTTGCTTTGTTTTCAAAAGAGCCCTCAAGAATGAAATGGGCAAATCGCGCATCTTGAGAACAAAACTAAGGGATTTAAATATAAGGGTCTCTTGGCATTGAAAAATTCGATCATATTCTAAAGGTAAATTACGGTATTATAACAAAGACCCATTTTTGTTTACCAGGGAATACAATTCAGTCTGACAAGGGCTGTTCCGGAAAAGGCTAAAATTAGACTAGCGTGTTTCAAGCGCGGCCTCGGGAATTAAAGTCTAAGAGTTTAGTGGTAAATCTGATTTCGAATATTACTGTACTATATAATAATCAATCCAAATCAGAAGAAAAGTATGAGACGTTTAGATTATATGTAACAGACAGTGGGCGTGAATTCACCCGGAAAAGTCGTACTATCGTTGAAACTACAATAACATAGACAATTGCTCCTGCAATTGTACCGAATATAAGAGCCGCAACTCGAGGGCTCAATGAATGTGACTCGGATCCTGTCGAAACTCGAACCGTGGGTTCGGTGTCGGATGTAGTTGTTGGAAATTCTATGTCCTGTGTTGTAATGTACGTCACCCAATGTGATGAGTCCCATCTGTCTGTTATTTTGCCACTAGTGCCGCTAGTATAGTTTCTGCCACTTGTCTCAAATGGTATGCCCAGTCGCGTTGAGACTGGAGATGTCCTTCTTCCTTGATCGCTCGGAGAAGGTATGATGGGATAGAACGAAGTGATGTCCCTGTAAGTTGATTGGCTGTGGTCAGCTGGTCGTAACGGCGGTCTATTCTCGGTCGACGACTGGCCAGCCGACTCAGGAGTGAGTGTAAATAAGTTAATAGAATATATCAGTCTATGACTGTTGATGCAGGGAATGTCTCGGCATGGTAGTCGAGAACAAAGCCTAGTCACACTACGGCTCGTTAAAATGGGTCCCGTACTAGAACTCATTTACGTCAATTAGGCTTGGACGGTAGTATAATAATTAGTTATGAGCGTACGGCAAACTTATCCTTGCTGGGAAAGTTTAATCAATTACTCAAGAGTCCGTTAAACAAAATCAGGGATAAAAATATCACTCTGGCATCTCGATACAGTGCAGTGTATTTTATTCGTTGTGGAACGAAAATCCAAACAGGTTTTTTATGGAGGCCGCACCATTTGAGATTCTACACAGGGTATTCCATTTTGTAGGGCCCCTAAAGCTTACTATTAGTAACTCCTTTCCTAACTTCCACTCCACGATAGATGGATTCATCCCACCGTCAAGCTCTCAGCATTACCTGCAACCGAATTCGACTTGCCACTATTCCGCTAGTTTTCAAGCGGATTTTCCTTCGGCCAGAGAGTAAGTGGAATTTGAACCGACTGATCATTCCCTCTATTCCGCTTCCAAGGCACATACTCAAACATGTTCGCGAGCTGGAAATACAGATTTCCATCTCCTACGTTGTTCAAAATCGGTGTGGCTATCACTTTACAATGCCGTACTACCCGCAAGATAATCTCAAAATGGACCTTGGACTCCATGCCGACTTTCTAGAACCTCTATCGGCGCAACTCTGCCCTGTTCTCAGAATGTTACCTCTACACTCGATCAAGCATTTTAGGTATGTTGTACGATACATGACATATATTCACTGTAGTTTTCTCTAACAAGTGTCTCTTTTTTAGATGGAATATTGGCTGCTACGTTCCAATTATGACTTTTATCCAGCTTATCGAAAACCAACGGCTACTGACAAAGGTATCGATATTGCTGGATGGAAGCTGCAGCTTGGCCCAAGAATGTGAATCACTGTTAGTTTCTCTAGCGGAAAAGATGGATCTTCACCTGGAAATAAACATATTGTAGTGCCGGGGAGCTTGTTACAGTAAAGTGAAACCTCTGAAAATGTGATCAATCTGACTACTTCTAAGCGCATAATGTACTGAATATGGGCCTTTCGCTTGATATCACTGCCGATTAGAGAAGAATACAGTGCAGGGAAACAGGCCAATTAGCGTCATGAGGTCTCGGGTGCGGGTGTACAATGAGCCTTTCACCGAGACTCATCTGAAGGTGCAGAAATTCAATAAACAGTCTAGCCTTAGTCGTTATTCCATTGTGGAACTTCAATCAGTGGCTATTAAGTGCCAGAGTTTAAAAGGACTCTATCTGCATATAACTTTAGGATAACGTTAAATAGGCGGTCCGACTCTCTTTTGTATACTGTACAGACTTTCGCTTGCTAATACTGTACTGCACTGAACTAAATTCATAGCTCTTCAATTCGATTCCGTATTTCTGTTAATTACTACGTCACTTGTCTTTTAGTATGGTAATAAGCACTCTTGTTCTCTGGCGAACTTTCCTAGTGGAAAACATAAGTGAGAGCTTGAAACTTTCATGGGACTCTGGATTTGCATTTTTATTTCTGTAATTTTCAATTCCCATCTCGTCTTAGTTAGTTTTAATATTGAGTATTAGAACTACAAAAGATGGCGTTTTAATTGAGAAAATAGAACCCGAATTTGAACCTTGACTTGCTTGGGCTCGAAAATGGCGAAATCAACGATGAACGGCTAATTCACAAAGAGAAATAACGCGCTAATCAGGAGTGGAGGTCAATGTTGGTGATGCACACTGCAGCTAAAATTTGAAAGAGACGAAACCAACGTTGAACGACTGATTCACTAGTACGCTCATCAAGAACTGAAATCAATGTTGGTGATTAACACTGCAGCTGAAATCTGAAAATGACGAAATCAGCGTTCAACGACTAACTCGCTAGTACTGTTGAAGTATCCCGGTTGCTGGGATAATCATGAGGCTGAGATCACGTGCATACACATATACCTGACTTCTCAGTCTACATGTATCTTAGACATAACATGTAACACAATACAATCAACCCCCTCAATAATATAAGCACTGAACCATCACTTAATATCTTAACAAGTACGCTAATCACGAATAGAAATCAGTTTTAGTGATAAACACTGGAGCTTAAATCCGAAAATGACGAAACCAACGTTGAACAGCTAATTTACTAAGAGAAATAATACACCAATCAAGAATAGAAATCAGTGTTGGTGATGAACACTGGAGCTGAAATCCGAAAATGATGATATCAGCGTTGAACGACTGACGCGCTAGTACGCTAATCAGGACTTGAAATTAGTGTTGGTGATGAACAGTGCAGCTCGAGATCTGAAAATGACGAAACCAACGTTGAACAGCTAATTTATTAAGAGAAATAATACACCAATCAGGACTTGAAATTAGTGTTGGTGATGAACAGTGCAGCTCGAGATCTGGAAATGGCAAGACCAACGTTGAACAGCTAATTTATTAAGAGAAATAATGCACCAATCAGGACTTGAAATCAGTGTTGGTGATGAACACTGCAGCCGAGATCTGAAAATGACGAAACCGACGTTGAACAGCTAATTTACTAAGAGAAATAATACGCCAATCAAGAATAGAAATCAGTGTTAGTGATGAACACTGCAGCCGAGATCTGAAAATGACGAAACCAACGTTGAACAGCTAATTTATTAAGAGAAATAATACACCAATCAGGACTTGAAATTAGTGTTGGTGATGAACACTGCAGCCGAGATCTGAAAATGACGAAACCAACGTTGAACAGCTAATTTATTAAGAGAAATAATACACCAATCAGGACTTGAAATTAGTGTTGGTGATGAACACTGCAGCCGAGATCTGAAAATGACGAAACCGACGTTGAACAGCTAATTTACTAAGAGAAATAATACGCCAATCAAGAATAGAAATCAGTGTTAGTGATGAACACTGCAGCCGAGATCTGAAAATGACGAAACCAACGTTGAACAGCTAATGTCAGTATCGGTAGAGATTCAGTATTGTAAGGATGTGTATTAGTTTGCTGTTTATAGACTAGCCGAGATTAGTCATGTTCACACCCATACAAGTTTGTATGGAGACGGGCATAACAATTCAGACAACTACCCATGGACCTGATTGGGCGTACCATTTGAGTATCGACAGTTATGAGCCCGGCTTGCTAAGTGAATTTATTGCCTATTCTGTCGAATCTGAGGCTGTTCATACCGATTATTTGTCGAATTGACCCCGCCGGTCAATTACCCCTGAGAGCGAACCGATCTGTACACAGTATCTGCATCGAAAGCAGCACTGTTGAATACAACCCGATACCGCTATGGAAACCGCTGTTATCTCCGCTTCGCAGAGCGTCAAGCTGCGAACGTCGGCCGATTGGATCGATTGGATACGTGCTATCCGCGATGTCGCCGAAACCGATCGTGTATGGAAGTTTATCGACCCCGATACCCCTGAGAGTATTCTTCCCGAACCGAGAGAGTGCCCTGAACCTCCGTCTCCCGATGCGAATGCAACCGCGATCGATCTGTATAAGATAAATTATCAGCGATGGGATCGAGAGGAGAGAGGACTAGCCAATATCAAGAGAGTGATTATGGCGACCATTGAACCTGCAGTGAGGGATCAGCTGTATGATAAACCTACTGTGCATGGACGTCTAGTGACATTGAGAGACCGATATTCCGATTCTGGAAACCTCAATGAGGAATATCGCCAGGACTATATGTACAATGCAGTGTATCCTCCACGGAAGGGAGAGGACGTAAAGGCATTCGTACGTCGCTGGGAGAAGATGAGGGATCGGATGATCGCTATTGGTGAGACCCAAATGCAGTTTAATAAGGACTTCCTGTTAGCAGTGAAGCATCTGGCACCAATGTGGCACACACAACAACTTCGACCTATCACGATCGAGAGCACCAAGATAGATAATAGTGCGTTGGTGAATGACTTCCTGGCTCACTACCGCGAGCACTTTGGTAGCGCACCAGCACCGGCGCCACCAACCAATCTCCGAGGTCATTCAGCACCAAGGGCTGCATTCTCAACCCTCCAAGGTAGCACTGAGGCTGTACCAGATTCGCCAAGTGCAGCAAAACCGGCCAAGAAGCGATCGTTGAAGGATGTGCCAATGACTGAGCGATGGTGCCCGTGTGGTAAGAGAAACCACAAGCCATGGGAATGCCCATATATCAATGAAAAAGAGAGATCGGCCAATTGGAGTGCCGATTCGAGAACTCAATCAAGAATCAACCAGATGCTCAAGGATCATCCTGATTGGAAGGAGTTTATTGACAAGGAGATCAAGTCAGCCAATCAGTATTATTCGGCCGAAAAACAGGGTGCTGCCCTAGGAACATGGTCAATGACAACGCTGGCACTGAATTGTCTTAATCAAAGACCTCACCTCAGGGATGAATGGGTATTTGATACGGCGACACATCGTCATATCTGTGTGGACCGAGATCTGTTCATTGATTATACTTCTGATGAATCAGTCGTCAAAACTGGTGACAGTGTCACTCGCACCCTAGGGTATGGAACTGCAGTAATGCCCTGTATTGACCCTAGAACGGGTGCGCGAAGCAGCGTCAAATTGCATAATGCCTGCCATTCACCTACCTTCCAAGCCAACTTAGTCTCGTACGGTTGTGCAAAGGAACGTGGCTGCCAATGGGATGAGATAAATAACTGTATAAGAGACCCGAGAGGTATCCCATTTGCACGAGTAGCCTGGAATGAGCATGCAAAACTGTGGCTGTTTGACAAGCCACAGGGTGATGCATATAATTGACTAGCCGATGGAACTGCCACCTTGGGGAGAGAGTGTAATATCGAGTACGCGATGGCAGTGCGGAAGTCGATTGCACCAAGGATCTCCGAGGCATCGTCGGATGTGTGGCATCGCAGATTGGGCCATATACATCCAAACACAGCGAAGAAAACGGCTGAGATGGTGGAAGGAGTCAGAATCAAGGACTCTGAGACGAATGGCATAACTGAGTCCCCGTGCCAGGTGTGTAGTATGTCACACGCACCACGTCAGATATCGCGGAGACCAGTAGGCCGTACGTTTGGCACGTTTGGACAGCTGTATTATGACCTAATCGAAATGCCGAAGGAGTCACATAATGGCCACCGATATATCACGCATTTCTATGTGTCAGGCATTCGGTTCCACTGGGTGTATACGCACGCGCGTAAATCAGAGTGTCAAAACGGCATAAGGGCCTTCCTGTATTTGGCCACCCGTTTACTGAAGATACCCCTGATTGGAATTCACTCAGATAACGAGAGATCAGTGACAGCTGATACTGAACGAGAGCTTGAGGGGATGGGCTTTGTGATGACACATACTGTAGTGCATAGCGCTGAGATGAACGGCCCCGGCGAACGCTCAGGGGGTGTCGTCATTCATAAGGCGAGAAAGCTGCGTATTGAGAGCCAATTGCCCGAGGGCCTGTGGCCAGAGATGGTATACGCCGCGGTGTATATACTGAACAGGACTCCAACCCATCTGAAGGATGGAAGGTGGATAGTACCCTGGGATGAAGCACGATCACACCTAGACCAGAACTTTGTGAGGAAGTCAGACCTGTCATGTCTGAGATTGTATGGCAGTCTCACCTATTGTCGGATACCGAATATCCCTCGTTCTCACAAACTTCGCCCTCGTGCGGAAGTTGGTTTCTTGGTTGGTTATCAGGCTTCGAATGTGTGGCGAGTTTGGATGCCCTCGTCGGGTAGGATTCAAACCGTACGCGACGCAGTATTTGATGAATCGCGCCGCTGGCACCCTGGTATACAGTATTGGGCAGAGCACCCACTACCGATTCCGGAAACTCGTGATATCCTCAACGACCGCGAGGAATGGCGCGTTATCCACCGCGAAATAGGCCTCCCTGATGACTGGATTGAGAGTCGAATCGGACATGAATCTGAGACCAACCAACCGAATCCAGCACCTACTGATGCTGAGAGCGTTAGTAGAGAGCCTGAAATTGAGGAGAATAGTGATGTTGGGGATGGCGGTGAAGATGACACTGAGGAGGTAGCTGATCGTGAAGCGACACCTGCACCTACTCATCTCGAGGCTGTACAGCAGTACACTCCGCCACCTACTATTGAAAAACCATCTCAACGATCAAATCGATCTCCTGCACTGCCTGGTACATTTCCAGACGAGCTACCAAGGTCTCCGCTAAGACATCGTTTTCCGGCCGGAAAACCAGCTACAGAGGCTGAGGGGGTGGAGAACAAAGAAACGACTCCGAATTCTACAGAAAACGAAGCTCAGCAAGATGACCAGCCTCAGCAGCAGCAGGATGAGTCATTTGAACCAGAGCCTCTATCTGAAAGTGAAGCTCAATTACACCAGGAACTGGCTACGCCGGTGCCGGTCGTGGCACCCCGAGACATCGATCTGTCGTTGAATCCTGCCAATATTGTTGATGGTAAGCGCGAGCGTAGGTCGACACGCCGAGATGACTATACATATCTGGTTGCTGAGGACGAATCGTCATTCGAACCACCTGATCTGTTATATGCATTCGCTACTGCGCTAAACGCTGAGAAACCGAGTCGTCACCGAGACAACCTGCCATCAGCACCTGAGCACTGGAATGATATGGTCCGACATTCTAACCGCGACGCATTCATGGCAGCTGCCGCCCTGGAAGTTCGGAACTTGAAAAGCAAAGGCACGTTTGAAGTGGTTGATCGTCCGAATGATCGATCTATTCAGGTCTTACCGCTGCGTTGGGTCTTTGACTATAAGTTTGACCAGGATGGCAACCTATTGAAGCACAAAGCTCGCCTATGTGTGAGAGGTGATCTTGAGAGAGTGACTTCAGAGGGGAAGCGTGCTGCTACCCTCGCTGCCCGTACGGCACGGATTATCTTCGGTTTAGTTGCAGCGTTTGACTGGGATCTAAGGCAATTTGATGCGGTAAATGCCTTCCTGAACAGTACGCTACCGAAGCCGGTATATGTGAAGCCACCGGATGGATCAAACCTGCCGAAAACGGTGTGCTGGAAGCTTGTAAAGGCACTGTATGGCCTAAGGACCTCACCAAAGCTTTGGCAGCAGGAGGCCTGTGGTGTGCTAGGTAAGCTTGGTTTGACACCACTACCTGAGGATCCCTGTGTGTTCATTGGTAAGGGGATTATCGTGTTCTTCTACGTGGATGATATTATTCTGGCAAGTGCACCTGATCAACGAGACCGCGCCTACGAGATTGAGCGACAGCTTCACACACACTGGGAGCTTACAGATCATGGAGATGCCCGCTGGTTCCTTGGTATTCGGATTATACGCGATCGATCGATGAAGAAGCTGTGGTTATGTCAGGATGCCTATATCGCAAATATGGCGGTCAAATTCAACCTTGCGAGCAGACCCCGGGTGATGACGCCAATGACAGCACCTGATAGCCTGAAGCCGTACGACGGTATACCGCGCAGAGAGTATATTGAGGAGTTCTCGACCAAATTGGGATCAGCTCAGTATGCTACTACGATCACCCGCGTGGATGCCGCGAAAGCCACTGCCCGATTGGCACAGTTCTTGACCAATCCGGGACCCCAGCATCTTGATGCTATTGATCGAGTGATCACCTACCTAAATCATACACGATTTTGGGCAATTGCATATGGAATTGGTAGTGGGTTGGAATCTATTGCATTCGCAAGCGATGCCTCATTCGCAGATAACCTCGACAAGACGAGCTCCGCTGGATATCTATGTCAGATATATGGAGGACCAGTTGACTGGAAGGCTTCAAAGCTACGCACTGTCACTACCTCAACCACTGAAGCAGAGCTGCTTGCTCTATCGGAGGCCGCTCGGGCAATGCAATATACGATTCGCCTACTACGTCACCTTGGTTTCCGACCAAACCATGAGATTACACTACGGTGTGACAATAGCCAAACTGTTGATCTGATCACCAGCACCAACACCAAACTGCATACGAAGCTCAAGCATGTTGATATTCACAATTATTGGCTTCGACAAGAAGTGGCAGAGGGTAGGTTGACGATCAGATGGGTGCCCACCGCAGAGATGGCTGCGGATGGCCTCACCAAGCCGCTCACGCGGCAGAATCACGAACGTTTTGTCCAAATGCTTCGATTATACGATATTCAGAGATATATTGAAGACTGAGGCAGCTGCTCCTGCCTATTTGGGACCTTCAACGGTCAACATCGATTGGATACAGCATTCAACACGCTGATATTGAATAACCTCAGGTGCTTTGAATACTGAGGGGGTGTGTCAGTATCGGTGGAGATTCAGTATTGTAAGGATGTGTATTAGTTTGCTGTTTATAGACTAGCCGAGATTAGTCATGTTCACACCCATACAAGTTTGTATGGAGACGGGCATAACAATTCAGACAACTACCCATGGACCTGATTGGGCGTACCATTTGAGTATCGACAGCTAATTTATTAAGAGAAATAATACACCAATCAGGACTTGAAATTAGTGTTGGTGATGAACAGTGCAGCTCGAGATCTGAAAATGACGAAACCGACGTTGAACAGCTAATTTATTAAGAGAAATAATACACCAATCAGGACTTGAAATTAGTGTTGGTGATGAACAGTGCAGCTCGAGATCTGGAAATGGCAAGACCAACGTTGAACAGCTAATTTATTAAGAGAAATAATGCACCAATCAGGACTTGAAATTAGTGTTGGTGATGAACAGTGCAGCTCGAGATCTAAAAATGACGAAACCGACGTTGAACAGCTAATTCACTAAGAGAAAGAATACACCAATCAATAATAGAAATCAGTGTTGGTGATGAGCAGTGCAGATGTGGGTCCCGGCGGCAGCCAAGAAGCACCACCCACGCTTGCGCCCCTACTTTCCTAATTCGACCTAGCATCGGCATGGGCATTAGGTACCGCGATTTAGCTTACAGCTAATAGCGCGCAGCCTTGTGCTTTTGCGTCTGTTTTGTTTCACGATGAAATTGTTTGCACATTTGCAGCCTCTCAGCTATCGGTAAAACCCGACCGTGAAGCCTTACTTCCGAGTGCGGCCCACCATAATCTGCAACGCCCTAGACACTCTCTCATCTCGAAGAGGGAGAGGTTCGAATGCCAACGGCGTACCTGTGGTACAGTCGATGATGATGATGATGATGATGATGATGATGATTTCATTTACCCTGACCCCTCGCCTAACGGCGATATGCAGGTTACAACTACTTTCTAAATACATGCTGATTGATCCATGAGATTGTACCAAACTTCCTGAGCGGTGA